GGCGCGGGCCCGGGGCCGGCGGCCTGGAGGAGCTGCGCACCCGGCGGCGCCAGCAGGAGGCAGGTGCGCGCGGGGTGGGAGCAGCCCCCGGGGCTGCGGATCAGGCTGGGCCGATCCTGTCCGATCGGATCCGGGCAGCGGGGCCGCCTGCCTCAGGCCGGCTCTGGAGAGGGGCTGCTTCAGTTGTCCGGCTTCTCTCCGCGCCCACGCGGGGCCGCCGCTCGTGTCTGTCTCGGCCAAGCAGCGCGGGGCTCAGGCCGGGTTTAGCTGCGGCGGGAGGAGGCTGCTCTGGTGCCCGGCTTTTCTTGCGGCCGTGCCTGCTCCATCGCCCCATGGGCCGCTGCCCGCCGGGTCCCCCCACCTGCATAATCACACCCCCTTCTCTGTCCTTTGTGCCAAGACTCCCTCAGTCCCCAGAGGTTCTGGCCCTCTTCCTTTTCCTTACCTGCCTCTTGTTTGACTTGGACCAGTTACATTTGGCTCCTTGCTTTGAGGCCAGCCTGTTCAACAAGTGTGCCACTCTGATCCCCTACCGCTGCCCAAGCTGTTGCTCTGCTCTCTGCTTCCTTCCCTGTGCTCCCTGCCTGATTTGGGGCAGGGATCAAAAACCAAAGCAACGTCTGTCACTGTGCTGCCTGTTCCCTCCCCCATTAGCCATATGTCATACACAGAGGCTGCCTGTGCCACGGGTTGGCTACCCCTGATTTACGTTATGGCTTGATGGTAGTGATAATCTGGGCCTTCTTTTCAGCATCCTTTGACTCAGAAACTCTAAATGCCTCTCTTACATCTGCAAATATGCCTCCATGTCTTCTGTTTTGGTTCAGAACTCCAGCTTGCCTCTGCTGTCATCCCTGAACTTTTCCCATCTCAGTCAATTGGCCTTTCATTACCTCCATTATATCCATGTATTCAAATGCCTCAGTTCTGCCTTTGCTATCCTGACTTGCAACTCCTAAATTTATGCCCAGACTCAGACCTCCCTTTCCAGTGTGTGCAAATTCTTTATATATTTGTAAAGAATATATAAACCCCCTATCCTAGATGTCTTTTACTAAATTATACCTACTGACACACAGGAGAAAAACAGCATTTTCTCCTAGTCACAGAAGAGCTCGTACTGCAGTCGGGGGAAACTTGACTTGATCTGGAATGCTCTGTTGTCTGCAATCAGTGCTTGTTTTGTTTGTAGCTCTGAGAAAGGCCCGGAAGCAACAGCAGTTGATTAGCAAGAGACTTCTGCGGGAAGATACGCAAAATGGAGAAGGGAAAGCTGGTATGGAGATCCCAACAGATCCTCTGTCAGAGCAAGAGGTATAGAACTTATATATTTTGTTTTTGGTTCCTTTTCTGTTGATAAATTTGGCTTGTTTAGCAGTTTGAATTCTAAAAAAATTAACAAATGCTGTATAAGCCTGAGACATAGCATATAAGCACACCCTTTGAATTTGTAATGACTACAGGTGATCATGTCTTCAGTTTCCTCACATCTGGAGAGGAGGATGGGGCTTTAGACTTTTACCATAGAACTTTGTTGGACATTTACCCAGCTTCTTGCTTTCTGCCAGGTGTTGCAGCTGCTCCGAGATATCCAGAAGGGAACAGAGGAACGGAAGAAATCACTGAGTTGCCTTCGACAGGCACTGCAGCACAAAGAGACACAGCAGAAATTTGTCAGGTTAGTCAGTCTGTGTTTCTGTGTTTACACCCTGCTGTCACAAATTTAAATTTATCAAGGACCAGGCTAGCCATGAGCCATTATATCCACTCTATTAGCAACCATTGCAAGAACAGTCTGTGCATCCACTTAGATGAACCTGGCCTACATGTCCTGTATAGCAGGGGTCACTGTAAATGTTTCAGTGAACCTGGGGACTTTGCTATGGTGAAAAATGTGGCTTATTTAAAAAATGCATTAAAAAAGGCATCTTTTATGTGATGTCTTCCATGTTCTGTTGAGAACAAAGCTTACAAGGACCTCTAGAGACTGTGTCATGGGTGCCTTTGTGCTCTGCTGGGCTGCTTACAGGCAGACCTGTGCTGTTAGATGTCTATAGGAACACAGTGGGTTATGAGCTGCAGGCTGACTTGTTAGCCCACCTAGGTTGACAAAGGGAGGCTGAGAGCTTTGCTCTAGTTCTCTCTCCCTAATTTTAGCTTTCAGGACAATATTCTGCAAAGGGTTTCTACAAGGCCTTTCCTCTTAACCGGGAGACCTGGGTGCTGAACTCCCCTGTCTACATTGCCCCTGGTTAGCCTTGGGTTTCATTCTGTATATCTTCTTATGGGGGTTGTTGTCCAACCCCACAACTTCCCTCTGATTACTCAGTACTGCGTATGGCACATCACTCACTTGTGACAAAGTGACTTTGGAAACAGCAACTTTGGCCTCAAGAAAAAGGAAGGAGCAGAAGTGGGAGGAGGAGAAAACACAGAAAAGGAGAGGGATGGAATCAGTAACCAAAGATTGGGCCAGATTAATTTTAGTGTAACTGCAGTGCAGTCAGACCTTTGGCCTTTCAACTGAAGGTACTTAAAAAATGGCCAGGCCAGCCATGAACTGGGCTGGGGCTTAGTGCCTGCTTCATGGGAGATACTCTATCCTCCCCTTTGTGGGGAGCAGGGTGTGAGGAGTGTGTGGGGAAGCAAAAGCAACAGTGCTGTACTTGGATTTTGCAGGTTAGAGGGCAGCATGCGGGTGCTAATTGGGCTGTTCACCAGCAGCCTGGCTGACGTACAGATGGAGGCAGCTCGCTGTCTGCATGAACTCTCGCACTCCAGTGACCCTGCTGTGGCTGAGGCATGTTTGCCAGCAACTTCCTATCTCCTAACCTACCTCTCAGGACATAGTATAGAATTCACAGTAAGATACAAATCTTTATTTTGCTATTATTCTTGCTTCTTTTGATTCTTTGCTATTGGCCATATGCAAGCCAAAATGGTCTCTACTACAGCCCTGTAACTGCCCTCAGTTTCAGTACTGAGCCAGAGAGGTAGAAAGGTACAGGTCCCAGTGTGTAGTGCTCTATTATAAGCATGGTAATTACTGTACTCCAGCAGACTCCAGCATCATTTGTATTGGTGTCCCTGTGCTGAAAAATGGTGGCAGGCCCACTTTTAACTAAAGCTTGTTCAACGAGCTTTAGTTAAAAGCACCCCAGCAGCCATTTTTCAGCATGGGGACGCTGATGCATGTGACACCGGGTGCTTTTTAATTAGAGTAGCTCTTGGAGCCGCTGTAATGAAAGTGCTCCCCACCTTCCACTCTTGGAGCACATGTATGAATGCCCTTTATGGTTCTGCATCCCGGGGTACTGTAAAAATGGGGAGAGGTGAACACTGAGGTAGCAAAATCTGCATATAAGGCAAAATGATTTTGGTCAGTTAAAATTATGGGGGACTTGCTGAAGAATGGGGCAGCAACATTAATAAATGCAAAATTATACACACTGGAGGAAGAGAACTGTTTTATGCATACACCTTGTAGGACTCAAAATTAACTGTCAACTTGGGAAAGGGATGTGAGCATCTTTATGGACAACTCAGTGAAGACCTCTGCTCAATGTGCAGTTGTAGTCAAAAAACAAACTGGATGTAAGGCTGGAAGAGGCACCAGATAAGCGGTAACACAGGCAAGTGTGTAATGCTTTTGTGTAAGTAGGTGGTGCATCTTCATCTGTCATGCTGTGTGCAGCAGCAGTCCCTACTTTGCAGAAAGAAGATTGCATTAGTGGAGGGGTCTCAGAAAAGTGTTGGTGAAAATGACCAGGGCCTTGGAAACTCTTTTTCAAAGAGACCTTGAAAAGATCAGGAATGATGGACCTAGTTTCAGCCTCAGAGGAGGCAAATAAGAGAGAGAAAGACATAAACGCATATAAAATAGTGAATGGCTTGGCTTAGTTAGCTGAAGAGCTTCAATCCTTCCTGGGTCATAACACAAACAGGGGGATGGTAATGGAAACAAATTCACAGCTGATTTAAAGAAAATATTTTTTCCGCTTTGTGTAGTCAGGCTGTGGAATCTGCTGCTGTTGGATGTCGTGGAGGCCAGGAACTCAGGAAGAATGAAAGCTATAGACTGTCATGCAGATAACAACAGTGCCTTGAGTTCTAACATTAAATGCAGCAACGTTGTAACAAGGTTGTGGAATCTCTATTCTTGGATGATTTTAAGATTAGGTTAGACAGATACTTGTCTAGGTGGTTTAGACAGGGATGATCCTACCTTGAGCAGGGGGTTGGACTCAATGTGACCTCCTGAAGTCTCTTTTCAACAGCATTTTGGACGGGATAGAAGACAATCTCATGCTTCAGGGTTTAGCTAGTCTCCAACTACTGAGGATCAGGAGGAGATCTAGTGTGGGAGCTCAACTGTCCCAGCTCTGCTATTGTGGGGCTCTTTCATGTTTCCTTTGAAGCATCTGGTTCTGGCTATTCAGAGATAGGAGACTTGTCTTAGAGCTTGAATCTGATCCAGTCTGACAGCTCCTACATTCCTGTGTTGGAGATGAAGGTTGCTACAGTTTTTTAGCAAGCCTTAGGTCCCCGACACGCTGCTAGTATGGCCCTCAGCTAGCCATGACTTCCTGCATAAGCAGGGGAAGCTGCGATCAGTGAAGTTTTCAGTTGGCATTAGTTTCTTTGCCTGGTTATCCATCTGGAGACCATATCTCTCTTGCCTTAGGGTCAGCATACAGGCATCTCAAGGTTCTGTTTTCTGCTCTAGAGAGAATATCTCTATTGCTAGTGGGGCCCCTTTCATCAGGTTGGGCTGGGGCCCTGGTGGCACATAGGGACAGGAGATGTATTTTCTCACGTGTCTTTCAGGAGCTGTGTTTGTACACGCTGGGGAACTTGGTAGTGGAGAGTGAAGCAGTAAGGAAGCAGCTTCTACCTCAGGGCATTATTTCAGCACTGGCCTGCTGTATCCAGGTGAGTGACCCATCTGCCCCATCCCAGATTCTTTCTCTGCTACCTCTTCACATGTCCTGCCAAGCAGGAAGGTGTATTCCCTGTGTAGTAAGTTGCTGTAGTCATGAATAGCTTGTTTGAGTGGCAGAGAGCAATTCCTTCACACAGGCCATTTGCAAAAGATGTCTTCCTGTGGTGCAAATGAGGTGCACCTTGGAACTGTTATGATTTTAAGTTGCTAGGCTTGCATTTCAAGGGTAACTGTGTGGGATTTGTGCTCTTCCTTACTAGGTCCCTCTCAGTCTCTTATCTGCAGATGAGTATAGAACATTTTTTTCATGAGAGATTTCCCAGAGTACTGGAGGCTCTTGGCAGTGGCTTGACACATTTCAAGCTCCAGTGAAATCAAATGCAACCTCTCCCCTCCTCTGCATTACATTAAGAGCTGTGTTATATGTACTGTCTTGTCCCCTTTCTCTTGTAAAGTGGATGGAGTATCTGATTCTTACTGGGTTTGTTTCACAGAGTTAGCACTATACTCTTTGATTTCAGTCCCCACACGAGGCAGTGCTGGAAGGCCTGGGCTATGTCCTGTCGCAACTCCTGCAGACCAAAGAAGCTTCCATCGAGATCATACCGTAAGCAGAACACCCTTCTCATGTGAAGATGAGGCTTGTGGCGGAATACCAGGGATCATGAAGCATCATGTGTCTCAGTAACATGGATATCTCAGAGCAGACCCCTAACAAAATCTGGGGAGTTCTGGGGGGGTGTGGCTCCACAATGGGGACAGTGTTGCTTGTCTTCCTGTTGAATCCTCCTTTAACAAAAATCCATATTTCTCTGAATTCTGTCCTTAGCTTGGTTCTGGACTCTGCTCTCCCCCAGCACATGCTTCAACTGGTTTGTTCCAACCTGGAGTTGGGTATGGGAGTCGCCGTGGAATTTGCTTGGTGTCTTCATTACATTGTTTGTAGGTAAACATTATTATGGGTTTGGACCTCTCTAAAGCTGGAAGGGCATCCAGATACACAGGCATGGGTGAAGGTCCTATCTGTGAGATTAACACTTGAAAGAGCTGATCCTTAGTATTTCTTTCATTTACTCTGTGCTGAGTGCTTTATCTTAGATACTGGGTCACTCTGTGTGATGCTCTTCCTTTCATCACCTTGGGCAGATCTCTAGGGGAGAACTGACTTATGGATTTTTCCCTTATATGCTTCTCTGGCTACATCCAGTTTGGATGGGACTTGTTAGCTGTAATCCCTGTCACTTGTGCTGAAGCCATTTGCAATCTCGTGTTACTGACTCTAAACTGAAGACTTTTCCTAGGCTAGTGACTCTCCAGCTTTTTCATCCTGTTATTCTGCCTCACCTGTGTGGCTGTGTGGTTCAGCTCATATCAACTTTGTACCACTGTTTTCTTCAATCTGTTACTTGGGATTGGTTTGAGATGAGGCCTTCCTTATTGAACTGTGTAATCTTATGCTGCAGTGTCACACAGCTGCTTCAGGGGTATCTCTGGCAGCTTCCCAGGCTTAGAGGAAGAAGGCATGCACAAAAGGGCAGGGATAAATGGATGCATGCTGTGGGTACCAGTCTGCAGAATGAACACTCTCAAACAGTTTAATCTCTAACTTGTTCTTTTTCATGCCCTGAATTTGCTAAAACATTGTTTTCTGGGGATTGATATGTCCCAGCAGCACTCTACTCAGAGGTGAGCTACCCTATAGAGCTTCCCTGTGAGCACAGCTCAAAGTTGTTTGTGACCTGAGAGAGTGGAAACAATTTGAACCCCATGTGTTTTGCTAGAGCTGCAGTCAAGCCAGAGAAGGCAACAATACTGGAAGGATAGGGTAATCTGGAGTTTACTAGGTTCTGTGTTCTCTCATTGAATTCTCTGTAATATTCCCTCCCTTTGCAGCTGCGTGAATAATGCCTTGTTAATATCCCAAGGCATCATGTCCACCTTGGTGCTGCTTTTGTTGGAACTTGCTTCCATGGTATCAAAAGCAGTTGCTGATGGCTTGGAGTTGGTAAGTAGAAAGGTGGAGCGGTCACTGGTTGGTTGGCAGAGTTACCCAGTGGGCTCTGCTGTCTGAAGCATTACTGCAGGAGGGGTACAGCTGCTTGATCATCATTGCTGTTTTTCTCACTGTTTCAGCTGATCTGCCCTGTGCTGCGGTGTCTCAGTAACCTACTTGCCGAGGAGATGGAAGGTTGTAATGTGCAGGTCCACGATGAGCGCTTGCTTGTGGCCTTGTTTACCTTCATGCAGTATTTTCTTAACCACCACCTGTTCATCGTACAGGAGTGTCTGTGGCTTCTCAACAACCTCACAGGTGAATTTATCCTGCACTATGGGTGGTCACCCAGCCTAACAGGAAAGCTCCTGCACTTGTCAGCAAAAAACCCTGCTGGCATAACTAATAATGGGAGTTCCTTGGATTTGCTCCAAATCAGTCTTGATTTACATTTTTACAACCTCAGAAGAAATAAAGCTTCAAAGAGACCTTGAATCAGAACCTGTGATACTGCAAGTGGCCTTTAAACTAGGACTAGAGTCACATGCATGGAGCTGGTGCCAGGGTCTCTTTTAGGGAAATATAGTAGTTTAAAGCACTCCTGGACAGAACAGGCATTAGCTCACTCCAGCATCACCTGTTCCCTAGATCAAGCTCTTTTCCTTAAGCCTGAGAGTTTCTGCCTCTGACAGGTTCTTTGCTATGCTTGATGAGGAGTGTCACTGGCAATTGCTAAGATTTCTTATTTATATGTTCTAAGCTCAGTTATTCTGAGGCTGATTCTGTCACAACATGCCTCAACCTATGCAACAAGCATTCCTTTGTATGCAGCATTCCTTCCCCTCTCCTACCTCGTTCGGTGAAAGCTCCATTTGAGTCATGCCAGCATCATATTCAGGTTTTGTGAATCGATTCTTGGCCTCTTGTGGGCTTAGATCAAGCATAGTCTATGCTTACCTAGGGAAAATACCGTGATCACCACAGTGGTTTCCTAGTTGCACCCGAGGAAGACTGCTCTGCTGGCATGGGATAATACCTGTGTAGGTAATGCATAATTAACCTTGGCTTTATATCCACTTTAGGAAAATGGGAGACTCCTCCCTAGCTTGCTTCTAGGGCCTTATGGTTAAGGGCAAGTGAAACTCGGGAGCATCCAAACCCCAAGCCTCCGGGCTTGGGCCTGCAAGTAGGATGCCCACTAAAGAATTTGGGAACATCTGAAGCCCCAGGTGGGGGTTGGAGGATGTTTGCCAGTAGTAGGGCCACTTACGGTTCTGGAATAACTCACGGATTTGGAATTGATTTGGATTGGAATACAGAAACTTAAAAAATATATATATCAGGTTTTGTTAACACCTTTCTCTTTTTTCTTAGCTGATGAGCCTTTCTTCTGCTCTGCTATGCTTACCCTGGACCTTATTCCAGCTCTCCTACAGCTCTTGCCCTGTTCCCGGATGGTGACTTTGCTGGTAGGGCATCTTTTTCAACATAGGAAAAAGTTCTTTGGCAAATGTCAAATTACTAGTGGTCTGGGAATGCAGTTATAGTGTTGCCTCTGTGTGCCCTTGTACCAGGGGTTGAGTCAAGCCAGGAGACAAGTATAGTGTAGGAACACTCAGTGCTTCTGTTGTCTGGTTCTGCATGTTATGTTTGGATCAGACATTTTACTGGTCTGACATCAAGGTTGGGGTCAGTGTCACACTCTTCAGCTGGTTAATTACTCTCTGTCTTGTTTATTTTTAAAGGCACACCTCTGATGCTAGTTGTTAGACTCTCTTTAGACGTCTGATATCTCCTGCCCTTGGAGGCTCTCTGCTGCCCAGGAAGGATGAATTATTAATCACTCTCTTCCTTGAGTCATGGGAGGAGCTGCATTGATGCAACTGCTTGCCTGACTGTTCAGGTTCTAAGCTTTCCAGCATGACTATTTGGTGTGGATAATATGATATGCCCAGTACCTTCTTTCTCTAAAAGGAGGCTGTCCCAGCTGACTGCATCAGGCAGACTTCCCCAAAATTAGCAGGGACCAACCAGAAGATGCTCTAATCTTCAATTAGTAAAAGGAATAACACTTATTGGGCATGTCTAAGTGAGACATTTACTGCAAAGCTGCTTGCCTGATTAGCTTCACAGTAAACATTTCAGCATCTACACATGCAGCCCTATTAGGGTAAATGAAACTAATAATCTCTGCGGCAAAGTAATACCTGAAAGTACAAGTACTATCCTGCTGTGGACTTTTCATGTGCAGCATTGCTTGTGTAGACACTGACCCATCTGGCTGGAGCACAAGGGTGCTTCAGTCAGGGGGCTGCCTGTCAGCTAGCTCCATACTGGAGCACCCTTGTGCCCCAGCCAGTCCCTCCACAGCACATTGAGTCAGGTCAGAGCAGCCCCAGGCTGGCAGGATGACACTCCCTCTCCTCCCCCGACAGTTCCCTGCCAGCCAGGGCTGCTTCAGCCCAACTCAACATGCTGCATTCCTGGGCACATGTGTAAATGCAGCACCTGGGAGCAATAAACTCCAGCGCAATATGTGCCAAAATTTATTCCTGTGCATTAATATGCATATGTAGATGCACCCACTGTAGTGCAAGTCAGCTGAGAACAGAACAGACCCAGTGCTTCTATTGCACTGCTGGGGAAGGAGCAAATTCAAGAGCAGTCTGTGTGAAATGGTTTTTAATAATCTCTAAAAGGTTCTAGAGCTGCAGCATGGTTAGGGAGGGAGGAGGACACAGGGAAACAACAGACATCAGTAACAGGCATCCGTGGTAAGCAGACACCAGACTTACTGTATCAGAACTATCTCCTACTCAAGTCTTCCCTTGGGCTGCCTGCCCAAGTGCCATGCAGACAACTCTAGAGGAGTATGCTGTAAACATGCCCACAAATGGTGAGGCAATTTTCCTCTGTTGAATCCAGAGAGTCAGGGAGCATGGGGGATAGGGAAATTGGACAGTGCCTGAGAACACTTCCTGCTTCTCCCTCTTTGTTGATATGAGTCATGTTGCCCAGCCTGCACCAGTCTTTGGCAGACAGAAGTGTAGGAAATGTAGGTTGAAGTATAAGAATGTTATAACTCAACTTTGCAGCCAAGGGACACACCACACAAGCTGCATGTTGCAGGGGCAATCCCTCCAGGATCCCCTCCTGCTGTGCAGGCTGTGCCAGCAATATAAGCCCCTCTGCTCTTTGTGCTGTGCCAGTGGCATACAGATGCCCCCCACCCCCTACTGCACCCACAGCACACAGCTCCCTTGTCCTCCACTTCACAGGTTGTGCTGGCAACATAGGTACTCTGGGCATTCTGCTGCACAGAAGTGGGAGTAGTGACTGTCAGTGCCTGCAGCTCACATGTTAACTGCTTGTGGGCTGCACACTACTAGCAGGCTGCTAATTGGACAGCCTTTTTACAGATGGTTTACAGCCAGAATAACCAGCCATAGTTACCTCAGTGTCACCTGGGTGGCAGTTGTGGAGTCATGCAGCTTAGCATACTTATGTCTTCTCTCTGTAGGTTCTAACAGTGTTGTGCAACATAGCTGAGAAGGGCTCTGCCTACTGCCAACAGCTACACCAGAAGGTTGTGCTTTCTTCACTGATCAGTACCCTCACCCTCTCTGATGCTGAAGTGGCAGGCCAGTGCCTTGAGCTGCTGCATCTCCTCTTCCTGCATTGGCCAGAGGTACAGCTTGGCTGCTTTTCCTTGTGTTGTCCAAACTAGTGTGTTGTTTAAAAAGCTTTAGTGCATTTAACTTCACCTAACACAGAACAATGAAGCAAAGAATGTTGTAGGGCAAGGTGCTGGTGACACCTGCTGACCTATGCTTACCTGTACTGAAAATACAGTCCAGGGAAACTTCTGTTTTTTTGCCACCACCCAGAACCAGGAAAGTTCAATGTCCATGGGTTTACCACAGCAATATGAGACCGTTAAACTGCTTTGTCTAATCTGAGCATTGCACCTGGATATTGTTGTAGCAGGCATATTATAAATTTAATTAATCCTTAAACCTCATTCCCAAGAGCTGGTAGGATGAGTTGAGTTATATTCAAGATCCAAGGCAGTTCAGTTCACGTGGGCTGCACAGAAGCCTTTGGAACAGCTCCCAGTCTGGGCTAGCTCTAATTTACTGTCTGCTTCTGAAACAGGCTGCTGCTGACTTTTTCAGCCATGCAGGACTGCAGGCCCTGGAACAGCATCAGCACCACCCGGAGCTTCAAGAACGAGTAAGAGCACTCATCGACTTGGCTTCCCAGCCAGCTGCAGCCTCACTCTGTTCCTTGGTTTCTTCAGCTGCTGTACCATCTTCTGTCCCCTAGAGGATACTGCCTCCACACTAGTTACTTTTCCTATTAGTCACCCCACCAGTTTTGTACACTGATAAATATTTTGGAGTTTAATAAACCATTTTATGATGTCCTACTTTCATATTATGATCCAACTGTACTGGCTAATTTCTGATAAAGTATCAATCTGAAAACTTGAGTGATCTTACAGCCAACTAGCTGGAAGATCAGTAAGTGGTACCTAGGGAAAGGGTGCCATAAGTAAGCATTATTGGCAAGGTTCATTGTAGTGGAATTTGAGATTACCCAGCCTAGCACACTCACTACTAGAGGGTAGCTTAGTATTAATGAGAAGCTTTCCCCTTACCCTTAAGTACCTCCTGCCTGCCACTACAGGAAGCAGTTCTGCTCACATGGCTGCTTAGGCAAAGACCAGAACAGTCTCAGCTGACCAGAAGTAAAAGGTCTCCTTCCTGAAACAGTCATTACTGAATCACCACAGACTCAGTCCCTCTAATAAAAGGGCACAGATTACAAGATACCTTCCAGCACAGCATCTCTATTAAAAGCATGCACCTTACAGTATGCTTTATATGCAGTAAATAAGTTAAAATGACAGATATACATGTTCTTTGTAAGCCCATTTGAGCAAAGGCTCCAGCACATGCAGGCTTAATTCTTTGTATTCATGCCTTGCTTTTAACAATGTCCTCCAGGGCCTGGGCGACTTGGTCCACATTCAGGTTGTTCAGGGGCACACACCTTTCCCTGCCAAACTCTGGGGGAAGAGAGAGAATTATCAACATCCAAAAGAACCACCTCATTCTTTTCCCTCCCTAGCCTCAGTGCATAGTTTATTCTGTATTGCAGATCTGGAGTGTATTAGTTGGTCTCACAAATATGGCATGTCGTAAGGCTTTTCCCCCCTTTTCTCAAGTTTTGGCTTCTCCACTTCCTAGCTATAAATGGTCTTCCTCCTCCTCAGTGTTCACATAGTTCTGTCCTATTGTTTTGCTTACCTGCACTCTGTACTGTTTGTCCCTTGAAAGAGACTATTCAGAAAGCCTCCATGAGCAAGGCTCCTAGTCTGCCAGAGGCACTGCTCTGCCAGGGGCAAAACAGCCTTATTTCATTCATCTCAAAATCCTGAGAAGTGCTTGAGGACAAGCTGTCTGAAAGATTTTCTGGTGTGCCCCCTGCTGGTTGTATTATAAAACTCTCCTGCTTGGTTCTTACTGCACTACTTACCTCCATAATTCATTCCATATGCTAATTCTAAGGATGTTTAAGGATCTTTTCAGCAAAGAATAAAGTAGCAGAAGGAAAAAAAAAAAAAAGTGAAAAAACCCAGCAGAACACAATACAAAGCAAGGCTAAAGAGAAAAAAAGAAAATAGCACAGAACATAACAAAACAAGACACATGCATCTGTTACAGGAATCTCAGCTTAGTAGACACCCATAGCAGACAGAAATATTCAAAGGGAAAAAAATTAACTTCAATCAGAGACTTAAGCACGATGCACATTAATGCTAGCATTCAGAACTATTTGAACTTATTACCATCATGGTAAGTTTAAGTGTCTTAACTCCTTAACCTTGACCTCATGAAGAATATCTTGAATTTGAAAGCTTGTCTAAGTTTAACTAGACCCACCGCCTGGTTGGAATAAACATATCCCCCCCAAAAAATCCCTGCTTCATCCTAAACTATCACAGCTGCAACATACTTCAACTCCTTAATCTCTTGTCCGTTCATAAATCAGGCTCTTGGTTTGATTTGCTGTCTTGCTTTCTTAATTCTCAGTCTCATCCTGAATCCGTTCCCTTGCGTGCAACATATATTGTCACCCTCCTCTGTATTAAAAGCAATCCACTTGATGAGTTTGTGGTTTAATACAGGCACCAAGTATATTACAATATATACAATTGCTCTAGTGAGCTTTTCTGAAGGTAGTACATGAAGCAAGAGGCTAAACTTCAAAACAAAAGGGCCATGATACTGATAGGGTGCTGCAGGCTCCCTCCCAACTCACCATATCGAGCCCAGAGTTTAGGCTGCACCTCTAAGCATTCCCGGATTAGGATGGGGAAATCTGGGTTTGCTTTCTTCAGAGTTACATAATGCTGTTCAATGAAGTCTCTGCAAAGAGAGAACAAATTAAGTCCCAACATCATTGCCAACCATAGCTACTGCAAGTGAGAGAGACTTGAAATATATTCAATTCCTAGGGCCTTAGAAGCTCCACATGCACTCAGTCCTTCTAAAGCAAACTCTGAAGCATTCAGAAGGAGAGGCTGTCCTATTCCCCATAAAAGTTACAGTAATGAAAATTTGTTCCTCAGCTCTGCACCCTCTCACCTAGATCAAAGTGCTCATCAGGTAGCATCAGGGCTGTGCGAGGTTTTGGAGGGTAGCAAAATAAATACAAAAGGTTGCAAGGGATCTCCTATCCTTTGTACTCAGACAGACAATGTCATAACATCAATATTGTCCTTTCACCTCAGGCAGAGTCAAGTGTCACCTATCACAGTACGGGAAGTTCCTCTGGCATGCAGAGGGACTCTAGCTGCAAGAGAGAAGTGCAGAGGAGTATTTTATTAGTCTTCCTCCTGCTGGGGGAAGCTGTCAAAGGGAGCAGGCTCAAAACAACTGTTATCTCATTCCGCTGCTTCAAGTCACACTGCCCAGGAAGGTCTTTTACATCACTGACCACCATCATGGAACATTATAGGACACTGAGACTAGGCCACAGCATATAGTCTCTCAGCTAAATTCATACCAAGCCTTATTACTTTTGCCAACTATCTCAGCATACCATTTTGTTACAGCTTATAGGAAACTTACAAGTTTATAGGCTTTAGGCATTAAAAAAATGAAGCAATAGAAAACCCAGTCATTCTTAATGCTCAAACCTGTTAGCTGAATTAGTGTCACTAGAAACGATGCCCACTTTAATGGAAAGCCTAACAAAGCAAAGCAAGAGTCAACACATTCAGAATTTAAGGGCTGGGAATAGATGTTAGGATGACAGACAATTTGCACAGTTCTACAGTAATTACGCATCGCTTTTGTCCCAGGAAAACGCCTTCCCCCCACTCCAGGATCCTACACATACAAGTCCACTGTCCCACGTCAAAAATCTCTCTGAACTATGCAGGATAAAGTGTGCTAACACTTTTTCCCCGGGACATGGCTGCATGCACCTGTAAGGTTACTCTGCTTTCCAACACCCTGCGCCCCCCCTGGACAAGCCAGCTAGGCTGTACATTCTTCTCTGGCAGAGCAGCCTGAAAGGGCACCATGTAAATGATTGTGCCACACCCATTTTGATCCAGGTCAAACAAGGCCAGTGTCAAATGAGAGACATTAGGTTACTCTACAATTCAGAATGGCCATGCTCAAGACACACACTGTCCAAACAGTCACTCCCATAATATCCAATCAAACAAAACTTTGCAGCACAAGTAAGTATTATGGGGGCTTTTCAATTACAAAATGTACTCTGGCTCACTCTCAGCTAGTTCCAGGGAAAGAAACCCCATAAGCTCCCTAGAAGAGAATTCAAGTGGGCGTGTCTAGTCCCTGGGACCATACTACAAACCAGGCTCTCACTATCACTTGTCTCAAAGGGAGTTCAGAAAAAACTACCTCATGAGTAGGTTTCTCCATTCTTGTTTCGTAGGTTTCACAGTTTCTAGGGTCGGAAGGGACCTGAGCAGATCATTGAATCCGACCCCCTGCCATGGCAGGAAAGAGTACTGGGGTCAAATGACCCCAGCAAGGTGTACATCTAGCCTCCTCTTAAAGACTCCCAGGGTAGGAGCCAGCACCACTTCTCATCACTTCAGAGTTCTTACATCTTCTTTCTGCATAAGCCCATCTGCCCAGCCTGGCTCTCCCATAAGTGCTGCTGTCAGAGAATAAATATCAGAGTCAAATGAACACTGGCCTGACCTCAGACAGCAATATCTAGAGGCCCAGCCTTGACTATCTGTTGTGGGAAGCAGGAGCTGGAGAAGCTGCAAGCAAAACTGACACCAGAGCACCCTGAAGGGCAGTGAGGGAAGCACACAGTGACTGCCCCAAGAGGGAGCGCATCCAGCAGGGTCCAAGAGAAACTACTTCCAGCCACGGCTCAAGCACGACCCCCTTCCCTGCGGTGCTCTTTCACGCAGCCCGCCCCCGCGTCTCTGGCCGGAGCAGGGCCACTCCTCCGCCCCGGGGTGCAGCGCCGAGCACGGCGCGGCCGCGACGCAGGGACAAGGAAGGGCCGTCCTGGGCGGAGTCCGCGCCCAGGGGCGTCACGGC